GGACGCTTAACCGACTGCGCCACCCAGGCGCCCCAACAGTTTCACTTCTTAAAATAAGGTAATGATAGTACTCTTACCTTAAGAGTTTATCATGAAGATTAAATAAATTGATATACGTATCATCCAGAAGACATTAATTTGAAAATATTTTGAATAGAAAATACTCTTAGTTTGAGTAATGGAAACTTTTAGATTGAGTGATGAAAAATATTCCATAAGCCAATATATACAACTTTAATTGGTTCTTTCAATAAGGTTTGGGTATAAATATATTTATTTATTCATTTATGTAAAACATACCTTGTTCTAAAAACGGCTTAGAGCATTTGAAAAATGAAATAATAATATTTAATGTGCTATTTTAAATATTGGTAAAGAATTCTTTGGATTACTACCTTTTTTTCAAGTAGCTTTACAATATACATCATGGAATTTTAGTTGGCTCAGTATATACTGGACATATATGTTTAGAGATTAATTCTCTTCTATTTTTTGTCAGTTTCACACCAAATATTTTGGGGTATATTTTAAATATGATTTTTGGTGAAAAACATTGCTGATATAGTAGAAAAATAATTTATAGAGTATTTTCCGTTACTTAAACTGATATTTTCTATTACTTCAAAGTATGTATGTTCAAATTAATGTCTTCTGGTTACTTTATATAGAGGTTCCTCTTTTTTAAGGAACCAAATTATGGTGTACTATAGGCCAGTTTTTGATCCAAGAGTCAGACAGACTTGGATTTTAATCCTTGCTCTGTTGTTACCTTGAGAAAGTTGGTTAACTTCACGGAGCCTCAGTTTCCTCCTAGATAAATAAGGGATAAAACAAATAACAAAGGGCTATTGTAAGCATCACACTAGATAATGTCTGTGAAAACATCTAGCTCAGGGGCCAACTAATAGTTAGCATTTAATAAATATGACTCTTCCCTCTCCCCTTGACTCTAAATCAGCAGTTATCAACCAGCAGTGACTGCACACAGCCCCCCACCCCCATTCTTTTCCCTGCAAGGGGACATGTGGCACTCTCTGGAGACATTTTTGACTGTCACAAGTGGAGTGTGTGTGTGCTACTGGCATCTAGTGGGTAGAGACTAGATTTGCTGTTAAACATACTACAATGCACAGGACAGCCCTCCCAACCCCAACAAAGAATATTCTGGCCCAAAATGTCAGTAGTTGTAGAGGTGGAGAAGCCCTGTTCTAAAAGAATGCCTCCATGGGGCTCCTGGGTGACTCGGTTAAGTGTCCAACTCTTGATTTTGGCTCAGGTCGTGATCTCAGTTTGTGGGATCATGCCCCACATCTGGTTCTGTGCTGATAGTGTGGAGCCTGCTTGCGACTCTCTCTCTCTTTCTCTCTCTCTGCTTCCTCCCAGCTTGTGCTTCCTCTCTCTCTCTCTCTCTCTCTCTCCCCCCCCCAAAAGAAATAAACATTTAAAAATAAATAAATGAATGCCTCTTCAATTCTAAATTCATGCTGGCATAATTTTTTCTCCACTAGTACTTCAGTGGTTACCTGTAAGTGCTTTAAGTACTCTCAACTCTCTCTCTCTAAAAAAAAAAAAATAATAATAATAATGGTGAAATAATAATAGCTGTGATTTATTGGGCATTTGTTATGTGCCAAGTCTTGAGCTAAAATAAATGATTTGTGAAATGTCACATCCAATATAAATCCTAAGGCGATCCTTAGAATTAATAGTGTAGACTTTTCTAAATGGATAATTATAATAACGTTTTACTTTAACACTGTCAGTATGAATGTCAGAACAATCAGCATGTGTCCAATTCTCATGCCTAGATCTTGCCTTCAACAACTTACTACATTGCAATGCCTATTCAGCCTTGTGAATTCTACCTTAGAGCTGTCTCTCTCTCAGTACCCTCTACCTCTCTTCTCCCTGTCATTACTTTACTCTGGGCCACCATATATTCTTCTGAATTAGCATAACACCCTTTTTTTTTTTCAACTCCTCCCATTATACTTACTATCCTTTCTAAACCATTTTCTTCTCTGCCATTTTCTTTCTAAAATAAAATTGAACAGTAACACTCCTGTGCACAAAATCTTGTAATAGCTCCCAGGGTCCTCATGATCTGGCTTTATCTCTTTCCACCCCATTCTCCTATGCATCTCACCCCAACAAACAGTGCAGTCTTAAAATCCCAGTAATCACGGTACAATGACATTAATGCTCTTGTGAAAACTGTGATGCTATAATCAAGATGAAATTATGGAGTTTATTAGTCTTCTTTCTGTGTTAATAAGTAATGCAAGAGAAATTAAAGCCCTGACTAATTAGAAATGTTCTGTCAATGTGTGGTCGGGCAGGCAACTGGAAAAGAAGAGAAGACAAAGTCATGCTTTCCAATGGGGTTTGTTTTCTATATTTATGTCGGGTGTGGCTATCATTAGATCAGGGAGCGGTAAGGGGAAGGAAGGCAGTGAGTTGCTGTCAGGAGGCCAGAAGGAAGAGTAGAAAGGGATAGGAAGCCAACTGGGATCCGCCCCTCATTGTGTTGCTAGGTCTCCTACCTGGGAAGAACACAGCCCCTCTTATGACCTAACAAAAGCTGTAGTGAAATTACTGGTGGTCCTCCTGCACGGGCGCTGACATAATTTGGTGCAGATGAATCTGTGAAATGATGAGATAAACAGCACATGTGCCTTTTATAGCTTCGTAATTTGCAAATGTTGCAAATATAACAACAACAGAAAAATAAAAAAACAATTCATTAAAGAAATCAGTTGTGCAACTTGGGACAGAAATCTAACATAGCTTTTCTGAGCTATGAGAGGGCGTGACTAAAATTCGCAATGAATCCTCACTTCATCACACGGTTGGCATCTATCTGAATCAATCCATCAAAGGCCAAAAACATTTCACTGATAACAATAATTCCTATGATAAGCTTTAATAAACACTTAAAACTAATGTATAATCATGAGCATATACTTTTGTATTTATAAAATACGAAGCACTTGGTCAATAACTATTAATGGGAATAGTCTCCCTGATAAATCCTGTACTAAGTAGACAGATAGCCTTATATTTCACTTACCTGCAGCTTTTAGAAGATACCGCCCTGCCTCTGACTCATCCGTCCTCACAACTCAAACAAATTGTTAAATTTTACCCAAGTTATAGAGTCAAATTTTTTTTTTTTTAATGGAGTTTTGGTAGAGTAACAGAGCCACTTCTGGCATTCAGTTTAGAGTGGAATACCCCATTTCCTGGGTATAGTACTTAATGGTTCATTTGAGGAATTTCAAGAGTGCTTTTGACTCTTTGCAGTTCATATAACTAAATTTCAAAACTGATCTTAAAAATAAGATGTGACTTCACCATATTGTTAAGAAAATGGGGGAGGGGGTGGAGGCAATAAGATACCGAAGAAATATGGTTTTCCTTTCCTTAATGAAGACATAAAACTAGCAAGCAAGTGATTAATTGTAGAAGTCAAATGAAGTATGGGAATGGTCAAGACAATGGAGGTTCATGGGCGTGGAGGTTGTCAAGAAAGTCCTTGTTTAAAAAGATGGGCTGTTAAGCCACAGGGTGATGTTGTGCCTTGCCCTTTCCTGCCCTAAGAGTTGTGGCTGGTCAGGCTGTTAACACTGGGCCTGCCCTCCTGTGTGCATTCAGATTACACCATTCTCTGCTAAACTGAGATCTGCTTACAGAAGGACAGTGAGCTGGAGGAGCAGAGATGGTTCATAGACTCCAAGAGCTGGAGCAGGTGCAAGTTTCATGAAACAAAAAGTGGGTCAAAACAGGGTGAGAAGAAGACAGTAGTGAGATGCCAGGAGATCAAAGGGTGGTTCAGCAAATCCCCCGAGGAGGGGACACCTCCTATGGAGGTCCACTCAAGGATGGTTTGATTCGCTCTGCCGGCCAATGGCTGATCCTTAAGAATTATGGGAAATGTACCAGAGAGAAAAGTCAAGCAGGCTAAAGAGAAGGCGTGACTCACACACAGCTGCAGAGATGGCTTCACCGTTGAGGACAGAGCCCGCGGCACACACTAGTCACTAAATAATGTGTGATGGTGAATCAGTGGGTACATGGGACCACCTCCAATGAGACTGCAGGAGGCAGAACTGGGAGGGAACAAGGTTAGATAGAGCAAAGGGGCTAGGCCAGATTACAGGGGCCTCGAAAACCATGCAAAGAAGTTTGGTCAAGACATTATGAAAGGTTTGTCTTCAATGATCTGAACACATCCTTTTCATCACAAAGTCCTCAGACAGTCCAGATGTGAAAGCATGGCCCAAACCAATAGGTGACAAATAATAATAACAGCAAACATCAAACTTCTATGATCTTATTATAACTTTATACATATATGTATATACATACACATTTATATATATAATTACTATAGAAAATATATTATTATCTCTCATTTTCAGCTCAATGGAATAACATTTCTAACTAGAAACTATTGTCTGACAGAACTATATCTAAACAACAATGCCATATTCGAGATAGAAGGTATGTCTTACATTTTTTCTGCTGTTTGAATAGATTTTCAATTGAGTAATA